TTTTATCTGCTGGAAGTCAGGAAGGCACAAACAGGAACCAGGTGGAACTCCATTGAAGTGAAGAAGGGGATTCACCCCTGCTTTTAAAACCTTTCAACTCAGCAAATCAGGTCCCCCTGGATCATCCAGGGTATCTCTCTTACTCAGAGTGAATTGATTATAGCTTTAATTACACACGCAAAATGTCTTTTCAGCAACATTTAGTGTTTGAGTAACTGGTGAGTGTAGGCCAGCCAAGTTTACAAATCAAAAACTACTATACCAACCATCCTACCAGTTTCATCCCAACAGCCTATCTCCCTCCATCCTCCTACCCTGCTGTTCCTTATAATACTTTTTACCACCTGAAATTTGATTATCCTCTATTATAACAGTTCTCAGTTGGGGGCAATTGTGGATATTTTGCTCACTCTTCCGCACCCCATACATTTCACAAGAGTATGGAGATATATTTGGTAGTCACTCTTTGGGAAATATAATTGGCTTTTAGTAGGTAGAGGCCAGTGAATGAGGATGAAATAATAGATAGTAAAATGCCCAGGCTGTCAGGATAATGGGCCCCATTCAACCTGCACCACCAAGGCCTATTTCAAATGTAAAAGACTTGAGGCTTACCTGTGGGAATACCTCTGGCCAACTCCTTTGCCCCAGAGGTGGAGAACTGAAGGTGGAGGTGAACCCAGATGGAAGTTACAGGAAGGAGGAGGGTTACAGAAAGGATGGAAGTGAACCCCATGGTAGCCAGGATGGCTTTTCAATACCTATTTTACATAGTTTTTGCTCCATGCCCAGAACCATATATAAAGTTCTAGGTTGCACACCAAAGTTGGTTTTTCTATCAGGCCCCCTCCAGCATGGTAGGAGTTTTCTCTCTTCTTGCTTAAATAAATCCTACTCTGTTTACTCTTCTCTCTGGTGATTGTGGAGTTCATTCTTCAAAATTTACAAGAACCCAGAGGAAATTGGTGAAGCAAGAATTTAATCTCATCTCAAAACTTTGGTTTCACCGGGGATACTACTAAACATCCTATAATGTATAGGACGCCCCCTCCCATCATCTAACCCATAAAACCAGTGGTGCTGAGATTAAGCACTGCTCTAGGCTTTAAGCTCCACTCAGGAAGATTTTCTTTGTTCTCATTTTCACTTAGTCTCACTTAGAGAGTGGCAAAGTAGGCAATCATCAAGTACAGCTTTAATTAAAAGACCAGCTAAACTATTTTTAACACACTTGTGAATGATTCATATCAAGGAAAATTGGTGAAGGATGTGGACAATAGGCTTCCGGGAACTTCCTTATTTCCCTACCTGCTCTTCTGTCCCACCCTGAATGAGCCTGCCAACCTGTGAGTTGGGATTAATTTAAACTCTCAGAAGCCTGTTTTCCTATGTCTAAATGAGGACCAGAATACCTAATAACAGAGTTTGGGAATTAAGTTCAAGATAGCACAGTTAAATTCAAGATTTAGGGGCTGGGGCTGGGGTTCAGTGGTGGAGTGCTCGTCTAGCACATGTGAGGCCCTGGGTTTGATCCTCAGCACCACATAAAAATAAGCAAAGGTATTGTGTTCATCTATAAAAAAAATTCAAGATGTAACATAGTTCCTTAAAAAATACATATGTAGGGCTGGGGATGTGGCTCAAGTGTAACACGCTCACCTGGCATGTGCGGGGCACTGGGTTCGATCCTCAGCACCACATAAAAATAAAATAAAGATGTTGTGTCCACCTAAAATTGAAAAATAAATATTAAAAAATAAAAAAATACATATGTATATATAAGCTATAAATATTAACTCAGGTTTTAATTCTATTATCTTTATCCATGACTGTGCCTTAGAACCTGCCCACTTCTTATTTTTTTTGGTGCTGGGGATCGAACCCAGGGCCTTGTGCATGTGAGGCAAGCCCTAGAAGCTGCCCACTTCTTAACCCTAAAAGCCCATGTTCCGAAGGCACTTGTTTTTCTAGCACTGTATTCCCTAATTACTACCACATCAATACTGCATTTCTTTGCAGTCTCCATTTTTTCACTTTCTGTTGGCCTGTCAGGAGATCATCAATTTTATCCACAATCCTGGGCCATTTCTGGGTTCCCTGTCATTCTAGTACACCTCTCCAGCCACACTCCCCATCTGCTTTAATTTCCCCTGAACAAGGCTTGTGCTGCTTCTCATCCTCCTATATCTTTTCCTTTTGTCAGCATTTAAAACAGCTTGAGGGCTGGGGATGTGGCTCAAGCGGTAGTGCGCTCGCCTGGCATGCGTGTGGCCTCAGCACCACATACAAACAAAGATGTTGTGTCCGCCGAAAACTAAAAAATAAATATTAAGAATTCTCTCTCTCTCTCTCTCTCTCTCTCTCTCTTTAAAAAATAAAAATAAAATAAAACAGCTTGAATCTCCCATGCTTCTTAGTCTAAAAAACAAACTCCATTTGGCTTCTTTACCTCTACCAAGGAAGAGACTCAGCTCCTTGCAGGGCTGCCATTCTGAGTAATTGGGTACAAATTACTCAGGTCAGTAGCCAGGAAAAACAAAACAAAAAACCCTATGTGTCCGCAGATAAAACCAAGTGATGACAGAAACCACCACCACCACACATATCAAGATTATGTTTCAACTTCTAGTCTCCCATAAAGGAAACCACTGCTCGACACCTACCTGTAAAATTAGCCTCCCTACAATCAATGAAACAAACCGTTTGAAATGCTGATGTTCGAAAACATTTGACAGTAATGTGTGAATTGCTTTTTCCCACCATGAACAAATTCTTGACTCTTTGGAATTGTCTTATGCAAATATAAAACATGGGACAAATATTTTATTAAACTTATTAGTGAAAGGAAAGTGAGGAACTGAGAGACAGGTGAGCCAGACGGAGACCAGGCAGAGATACAGCAGGCAGAGTTTATTTGTCAGAGCTTACAAACAAAGGCCATCTCTCCATAGACAGAGAGAGGCAACACAGGCTTGGGGTGGAAGATTTTTTATGGGGGAGGCTCAGGGATTACAGAGCCAGGTAGGTCCTAATGTGGGCAGGTAAGGTTGGGTTGGTATGAGGGAGTGGCAAGCCTTTCTCAGAAAGGCCCTTGGGCGGGAAAGCAAAACTTTTTCTTAAGATGCTGGCTGTCATTTAAGATGGCCATCCTGATACTAAGCAAGGACCTTACAATTAGTTGATGAGGAAATCAGAAAGAAGTGAAAACTATTTCAAGGTGTAAGGTCCTTGCTTAGCCTCTGGGTGGCCATCCTAACAGCCATGATTTTCCTGCCCAAGGGCATATTACCACTCCCTCATACAGCTCACCTTTAACCACTGCATTCTTTCCCACCCAAAGGTGCACTAACCCCATCCTTAGTCACCCACGTGAGGGCCCTAGCTCTAATCCTTGAGCCTCCCCCATAAAAGCCCCAGAACTCAAGCCTAAATTGCCTCTCTGTTTTAAACTCTCTGCTGTGTATCTCTGTCTGGTCTCCATCTTTCATTTCTGGCTCATCAATCTCCTGTTTTCTCACTTTCCTTTCACAAGGTGTATTTGAATAGCTGGGTATACATAGGCAAATTAATAGTGGAATATTAGTGTAAGGTTGCAAGGTTAGATAAAAACTGGTTAATAATGTATTACAAAGTAAAAAATTCATAACCTTCAGAGTTATTCATTTCACTGATATTTATAGTCCTATTGGACAAGTCTATAAATTAACATAGATTAAGTGTATGACCTTTAATCAATAGTAAAAAGTGAGAACAAAATGCCATCCTCCAGTCCTTGATTTGATATTGAAAGATGTCACTCACCTTTTTGCCTTGTTTCTAAGTTTTAGGTAATTTTCCTTTCAAAATGAAATCCTTCTCCTTATTCATCCCACTATAATCAGTCTTCCCCCCCCCCCACCACCACTTACTGTCAATGTCAAGCCCACTCATGACCTCCTGCAAAACTCAATGGATTTTTTTTCTGAATAGTTTCAACTATTGCACTTATGTAAAATTTCTCATTGTTTAAAAATGCCACACATGGTTTAAACAAACAAAAGATTCCTGTGGTCTAGAATGAGCCATAAGCTGCAATTTTACAAGCTGTAATATTTTTAATACATTCTGGATTTAGAGGAGCTGGCCAACTTCTTGGCTTTCAATTAGGTTCCATGGACTCCCAGGGCAAAATACAATGCAGAATAGACACTATTGGGCTCTCTCTGCACATTGCCTCCATTTTAGAGAGAACCTTTGGACTTACATTTTGAACCATGCAATACTACCTGCCTTGCTATATACCTTGAAAGACTGGCTAATCCCAGATCAGGTGACTGCTGCTAGTCAGATTTCTCTAAGAATTTAGGATTAAGAAACAGATAGCTAATCCAGCTATGCTTGTCATTTGAAGGAAGGACATGTAATTTGGTAGTTGTGCACTTAGAAGCACAGAAAGCTTGTTTTCAGAGAGAAGAATAAAGCAGATAAGCATCATCTGGGAAGACAAGCAGAAGAGGGACTGTAGAGTTGGTTGCTTGGGTGGGTTCCAGATGGCATTCCAGTTTTTTGTTCTAGCATCCCTTTAGGCACAGTGGTTTGGTTTTGGGACCCCTGATATAGAAACTCAGATTTTCTTGTAATTAATTGCCCCTGGAAATTAATACTAATTAATAATTATTGAGAGGGTTTCTATTACTTACAATTAAGAAACCTTAATAGAGGGCTGGAGATATAGCTCAGTTGGTAGAGTGCATGCACAAGGCCCTGGGTTTGATCCCCAGCTCACACAAACACACACACACACACAAAAAAAAAAAAAAAAGAAAAGAAACTTTAATAGAGAGGAGGGTGGGATCGTTGGCAATAGTGCTCTACAGGACAGCATTCTGCAGGGTATGTCCTGGAACAAACTGCTCTTTCTAAGTTGACCGCAGCCTGGCTTCAGATAAGAAGTGTTATATCAACACTAACTTCAAATGGATCAGGATAAAAACAACATGAAAAAACATTAGAGACATATGTGGACTTCAAACAAATGTTTATTACTGCTTAATGGGGCCAAATGGGCAACACAACGCATTGAAAATATCACTGACTCACAAAACAGTCACCTTGCTACCTTCTTGGTTGCAGTTGTTTATTTCACAAGGCTTCATTCACACATGAAAACAAGATACTACTCCAATTCAAGTTCATGACAATTATAAAAGTAAACATTTGTTGGGACAATGTACAATAAATTGCACTTTCCTTAACAAGCATTACATTTACATTTATAGTGTACTATACATAATACATGGAATTATGGAAACATCTAATTGGTCATTGTTTATAGAGGAAGAGGCTAATAACTAATTTTTTTTAGTCAATTAGCACTGTTCACACTTAAGTCATTTATTATATAACCTGCTTTCATTACAGATGCTGTGGGCAAAATCACAAGTTTCATAAAAATAGATAATATAGAATTTCTACTACCTCCTCAGCAAGGGGAAGGTAGGAGTTGGAAAGAAAGGGGGGGGGTCTGATGGAGAAACTTCTCCTCTCATTTGAACTGAGTATCCATGCATTATGCAAAATACCAAAAATAGAGAAACTGATGCAAAAGGCTATTGGGACATCTTGGATTCTGGGACCATCTCCAGCTTTGTTCTTGTGCTTTCATGATACCAGAGTCTTTTGATGCATTTATATTCTCACAATTCAGTTTCCTTTATCTTATTCCATATATAATATATAATTATTAAAAGTTACATTTAATGGAAAAGATTTTACATGTTAACCAACTGTCAATGGAAAAGGAAAGTAACTTAAAATGTTCATTATCTTCTCTGATTAATTTTTCTTAACTTTTCAGAACTAAGGATAAGCCAGGGACTGGGTAAGGAGAATGGGATAGACAGATGAAGATATTTTTATAGCAGGTAGCAAATTCATTTGGAGATAAGCTTGACATGGGTCTTTTAGATGGAAAGTGAGAAAGATACACCAGACAGCTGTTTGCAGTCACTAAGATCCCACAAACATCCACTTTTTTCCTTACTATAAAAATTAGCATCGGTCACATGGCAGTCCTCATTTTGGTAGACTCTGACAGTCAGGGAAGTTGCTAAGATGAAGAAGGACCTGGCCTGTATTACATAGAAGAAATAAAGAGTTGGGGAATGTTTTCATGCTGGTGACTAGCAGCATGGTGACTTAGGAGTTTTATACGTTGTAGCTGGAAAACTGGCCACTCCCTGGCCTTGTGGTCTTGATCACATGTCTTGAAATCTCAATATATATTAGATGAATGGTATCTAACTACACAAAAGAGGCAGGAATACTCCAATTAAAATTCCACCAATCTCTCTCTCACACACACATAAATCTAGCAGTGTTCAAATCATACAATTCATCCTCTCATTTGTAACTGAAGTAAGAGAATCAGAGTTATTTTAGAGTGTTTTAAAGGGTAAATTATATAATACAATCATCTTGCTAAGTAATTAAAAGTGTTCTTTCCCAGAAGATAAAATAAGTATTTTTTTTTTTCTCTTAAAGGAGTCCTAAAAATCAGACAGCCACCTTAGTGTTTAATGCACAGAGTTGGTAAGACAGTAGACTGATTTCAACTAAAAGAAAGTTCAATCCATCACAGTAGTTATTATATATAATTCTTATCCTAGGTGACTGACTCTTTTAAGGATCTAACTCTAATCTCCTATACCTTAACCTTTTATTATCTCAGTTTACTCACCACAGCTAGGAAATGAAGTCACTAATTATTAACTAGAAAATATCTGAAGAATGTGTAGTAGAGGTTGGAGAAAAATAAATATGAATACAGAGTAGGAAAGAATGAACCTTTTCTTATAAACGAAACAATAAATACCATTAAATATCCCAACGTCAGTATAAAGGTTGCTTTTCTACTTTACCAGGAAAATTTTAAGAAAGCCAGTGAAGAAGAAATCATCATCAATTAATAGCTAGAAGAGAGAAAGAGAAATTCATTGTATGGCAAGGTAGGTCACAGCCTGTATAGTGTCTCTATCAGTGTTTCTGATAGGTTCTCATGTCCAAAACATTAGGTAACTAGGATTTCTTAGCATCAAATTCTATGTACCCAAATATAACCAAATTGTGACATGGCTGCTGGAAAACATGCACTACAGAATTAAAAAACCAGCTTGGTTTCTTTCAGCTTTAAAGAATGTGTTAAATAAGATTCTTAAGATATGAAAGCTAATGAACTAAATTACTAAGTTGAATTTTATTCACATTCTTCTACAGAATTTAATAAAAAGAGAAATGATCATTTTTCAAATGTTGCAAATACTGGATTTTTGCAAGAATGTTTTATACAAAGTACAGCCTAAGAAAGGATGAGAATTATTACACTATTTGAGAATGTCCTATATATTTGGCTGCTTTGTAAAGGGAATTCAAAAGAAAAGTTATAGTTCTCAAACAATACACTGTAAAGGACATGTGGTATGCAGTATTGCTATAACATATTTTATGAACAATCATATCACATACCAAAAATTTTAATTTTTCTTTCCCATCACCCGGTCACCCCCTCACCCTGTAATGGGAATCAAACCCTGGGCCTCATGCTAGGCAAGCACTCTGCCACTGAGCTTACTGCCCCCCCCCCCAGCCCTTTATTTTTTGTTTAAAGATAGGGTCTCACCAGGTTGCCAAAGCTGGCCTCAAACCTGCCATCCTCCTGCCTCAGTCTCCCAAGTGGTTGGTATGTGTCACTATGCCTGGCCATTTCTAATCTTCACTATTGCTACTAATTCAAAGGCATTGCAGTGAGGGTCATCTCAGACTTGCCACACCAATATGCATACCCAGTTTGATGTGGGGCTGTAAAAGAAGAAAACTGTGTATTGACCTTATAATCCTTTATAAGAATTAAGGCTAGAAAGACAAATTTACCAAACTTTTGGAATGCATGCTCCTGGCGATTCTGTTCAAAGACTAAAAGGAACAGGACTAAAAACTGAACCAGGTCCACAGACAAGGACTTGACTTAAAGCCTTCTACTTCTCCTGTGACATTTAAGAAAAATTATGCAACTTGGTATTCTGTGGAATGTATTTATTTCTGGAAGCTAAAAAGAGCTTGTTGTTACTATGAAGTTCACGACATAAGAGTATCTGCAATTTGGCTAGCCATTTGCAAAGGCAACTTGTATAGGGCTTCCTGGAACCAAGCATAAAGTACCACTTCAGCTAACAGACTCCACTAATGATTTACAGAGACAGGTGCCAAGATGAAATTTTTTAGCCATTATATTTTAGAAAAAAAACATATATATATATTAGCTTATCTAATCCACCACGTAGGGGATTTTAAAGTCAACAGACACTTGGAATGCTGAGTTATTTTCCTTTTTGGTAAAAAGAAATGAATTTTAGAATAAAAGACATCAGAACAATAACAACAAAAAGAGTTCCAAAGAAAAATATTATTTGACAAGTGTCATGGATACCAAACATAACAGTTTTATGTTGCAGATGATAGAAACAGATGAAGGGGATTTCACTTTTTAGAATTCAAATATCATTCTAGAGGAAAGGATCTGTGGTGAGCAGCTTGTAGTGCATCCTCCTAGGATTGAGAAGGTTCTTATTTGATTCTAACTTTCAAGAGTTGTGTTCCTTATAACTGCAATATATGGCACAGAAGAGAACCACTCTGGCACTACAAAGTTTAAGATCCTTTAAAAACAGCATATCCAACAAAGAAGCCAAGGATGAATATCAGTAAACATTACTGTACATAGCTGACAGTAGTTTTGTTGGTGTGAAAGGATCAGATATCTCCAAAATAGCTTAGAAAATGGGAAAATTAGTTTTGCCCTTACCAAATAATTTCTTGTAAGGACTATTTATATAGGTATGTTAAATATAATTTTTAAAAATATTTCCACCAATTTTAAACAATAGCCTTATCTTTTGTTAGATAAGTATTTCTATAAAGATTTCATATTCAATCAAAAATGTTATAAATGCATTTGTATCTCTTCATCTACAGGTACCAAGGGCACATACTAGGGAGCTACAGCAGTGAGGAAATGTTGCCTAACATTAACTAAGGTGATGAAGCTGACCTCGATTTCTATTTCAATACTACGTCCTCTAACAAAATTACAGAATATTAGTGTTTCCTTAGTAACTATGTCAACACCAAATGAAAGAACTCTGTTGCTGGTTCTGTACTTCACTATAAGCACAGCAACTGAACCTGGGCTTTTCTCGAACTCTCCGGTGAAGGTTCCCTAAGTGCAACTCACAATAGCCACCCTTGACTGGACACTTGCCAGAAGTCTCATCTGTGTTCATACCTAGCCACACTAGGAACATGCAAGTCCCTTGTGGATTTTTGAAAGGATCTGCTAGAACACCAGAGCCAAAATGATTTTACTCCACATTTGTCAAAATCTCAGTTCACTCACTGAGTTTGCATTCTCAATAGCCCATCCATTCCACAGTTCTTGGCACTTCAGAAAATGAAACATGAAAGAAAATGAAAATAAACCAACTACCTTTGGGGACTTTTCAACCCCTGGTCTGTTCTTGCATTGGGCAGGAATATCGCTCCCTGGTTTTAGAATGAAACCTGACGGTGGTCATGACTGGCCCCACAGTGTGCTTTATTTGAATAAATCCTGAAAAGCTAAAGAGGTTTAGGTTTCAATTTTTTTCCCTGTGACAAAGATCTTCCTGTCACGTCAACCTTGGAATGACAGATGATTCCATTTTTGTAGGATAAAATTATTAGGAGTAATTAATTAGTTCTAAATAAAAAGCACTTAGTTCTGAATTACTTATTTCCAACTAAACTTCAGGCATATAAAATAATGTGTAATAGTAGGATGGATCAGAACATGGCTTCCCAGGAAGAAGCTGGGCAGTAGGTATCTAACATAAATCGGGTCAATCTAAATAACATCCCTTTGAAAAGTGTCATACAGGAAAGAATGAGAGCTACTGAAGGATTCTGGCTTGCTTTCTGGCCTCCTTTACTTTCCTTCAAAGGGACACCAGGAAGACGGCTCCCGGGTTTCCCTTGCTTTGATCGTTGTGCTCTTGTGCTAGGGTGAGGCTGGAGCTATGTGCTCTCCTTAGGCGGCTGGGTGGCCTGAGGCGGCTGCAGTGGCTGGGTGCTCGTGGCCGTTTTGATAGAGTTCAGGGTTTTGCTAAACCAAGAGTTTTTTGCAGCTTGGATTTCATTCATAAGGGCCCCTCTCTGATGTTCAAGTTCCTAATTAAAGAAAGAAAATCATCTGAGTATTAAATGAAGAGTGCAGTTTTTTTTTTGTTTGTTTGTTTTTGTAATCCCCAGGTCTATGTAGCCAAACTATTCTTCCCTCAAATCCAGGAAAAATTTAATCAGCTTTTTAATGGAAAGAAAAAGTTTCAAGCTAGAAGAGTTTCTACTGAAAATCAAATCTGTCCTTTCTCTGAACTGTGAAAAGAAACCTTGTTATATTCTTTCTTTTCCCCTCTGCCCTTAGGTCCAAATTTAGGTTTAGGATGCAACCCCAGATAACATGTTTAAAATCACAAATAAATATGAACATTAGGACAGAAAGAATTTATACTACTAGCATAAGCAGAATGAGTTCCATTTCCAAAGACATGGCCTTTGTCCCTGAGAACATACAGGGTCCAGAGTAGAGACATCCTTAGCAGAGGACCCTAATGTGACACAGATTGGTGCCACATAGGCATGGGAGGGGGGTTAGGATCACTGGTAAAAAGGAAATGGGGAAGAGTCCATCAGAACTCACACTCTTTTTCTAATCATGTTATTTTCTAACATGGAGTGAGAAAATGGCAAAATCAAGATAAAAAGAAGCTCCAAAGAAAAGAAGGGGTATGAGCCAATGTTAGGGGCTGGCGGAGAGACTTGGCTTTCATTTTCACGATCAGCTTCTAAAGTGACCAAATTCATTGTGACAGGACATGAGCAAGAGATCTAATGATAAACTGGAAAACTGTGTTCATTACAAAAAGTTCCTTTAGATTATGTGTTTGCTTATATCAGTGTGTAAAAATACATGGCACACAATGTGATCATGTAGGACACATCAGTGGGTAGAACTCATCTGCAACGCATCCAGTGACAGCTCGTGATTCTGACTTAGCACCTGAGCCCCTGCCTGTGATTCTTCCCTGCTGATCTTTTACCAACCAACCTGGATTTTGCACTTAGCCTCTACCAGCTGCAGTTTGGTTTGTGCCAGTTCCAGCTCCATCTCCCTCAGCTGCTTCTTGAGCGAGTCCTTCTCGTCATCTGCTTCAATTCCTTGATCCTCCCTGCTGATGGCTGCTGGTTTCAAAGTGCCCTCCTTGCTGAAAATGTCACTGCAGTGTTTACATGCCATCATTTTACCCTGAAATAACCAAAAGTGATAATCAACATCAAAATGTATTTCATAGCCAGATCACTTCCTGAAATAATATATGATTTCTTAAAGTCACTGCCCATGGCCAGCAGATGCACTGTCATCTCAGATAACATATATTTACACACACACACACACCACAACCAAAATGGTTACACTCAGTACCAAATCCAGCTATTCAAAACAGGTGTTCCGTTTACAGTTCTGAGGATCAAAACTTGAACTCTGTGTGGACCAGGCAAGCACTCTAGTACTGAGCTACCTCCCCATCTTCCATTCTTTTTCTTTAAATAGCTGTAGGAAGACTCTAGGAGTATCACAGTCTTCGAAAATCTGCCCTAGAAATTTTGTGCTGCCATTACTGTTATTAAGTGCCAAGCCCCATACCATATACTCTACCTGTAGTATTTAATTTAATTCTAGAGCAACTAACTATATGAAGAGGAACAATTCTCAGCCCCATTTTAATACCTATAGAACTCATTAGCATTTAAGTAACTTGTGTATAGCATGCCCAGGACGGTCATTATAACTAACCTAAATCTACCCTCACAATAAAGTAAATGTCCTACTGTTTGGCTTTAAGCAAAGATGACCATCATTGTTTAAGTTGATAAAAATAACTCTACTATATGCCTAAGTTGCCAATCAAGTACACTCCACTGAATGACAGCAGTCTTTCCAAAGTTAACAGTGCTGTGTTTTCCTGAATTACTTCAATAAAATTCAGAAATAAAGATATTACATACTATTTCTATTTTTATGTCCTACTGTTACGACAAGCTCATTGATTTAAGTTTTCCAATCCAGGTAAGCAGTTGTACTGGATTGAACCAAATGAAGGAATAGACTGGTGTCACAAAAGGGAGGACAACATTTTTGTAGAGAAAACACCACATGCAAAGCTGCAACATCCTGAGGGAATGTCCAGGAATGTGCAAGGGCCAAAGCTGAGTGTAACGGTGAGAGGTAAGACGTAGGTGAGCATTCTCTGTGGCCAGGTTGTAAAGGTCCTGATTTTACCCACAGGAAATGTGTCTCTTGGCTGCACCACGCCCTTTGCCACATGCTGAGCAGCAACAAGCTCCCTGGAGCTGGGGTCCATTGCGGTGGATAGTGCTGAGTCCCACGGGCCACCCATCTGTCCTTCTTCCTTAGGAATAGAACCCTGATTTTATTTGAGCTGGCAATGGGTCCTGATAAATGGTGGCATTTCTCAAATTCCCTTGAAGCTAGGTGTGACTGGAAACTAAGTTCTGATTCTCAAACAGAAGTGTGACATGGAACTTCTGAGAAGGCTGCTCAGAGAGCACACCCCCACTGCAGCAAGGCCCTTATATCCTTGTAGAATCAAATTCTGCCATGGGGTGTGAATGTGAAGCCGAAGCTCCAGTTGACAGGTGTGGCTTGTAGGTGATCTGAGGGTGGGTGCCCACGTAGAGGATGTGGTCACTAATGACCACCAAGGATCCACCTTTCTAGTCCTTGACCACTTTTACTTAAAATAATCACTACCTTTTGTGTGTAAGCCAATGTCGGGGGCCTGTCTGTGGTCCAGAACTGACACGCATCGTGATATGGCCAAACTTATACTTGGGCATGCTCACTCTGATTACAGTGGAAAGGATGAACTGGAGTGGTGGTAGTGATCAAGAGGGTTGTTATAGGAAGCCGGACAAACCAGACGCTAACACATCATGCCAAATGAGGTGAAGAAGAAGCACCCTAGAGAAAGGGGAGGTAGAACAGTCTAAGAATGTGGGCTTGAGTGTGATGCCCTGGGTTCAAGTCCTGGTACCACATACCAGCACTATAATCTCAATCAAAAAGAATCACTTCTTTGGGGCCTCATCATTAGTAAAAACAAATTGTGCCTATTTTCTAGGGTAGTTATGGGGCTAAGTGGATAATACACAGAAAGTATCAGAACAGTGTGCACAGTAAGGACCAATGAGGTTGTTCTTTATTATGGCTAACTCAGGTTCACCTTCCTCTCCTGGAACATCATGCCTTCATTAGGTAGTCTTACCTACTTATCCAAAATTGTTCTCTGTTGCTTCATAATCAGTTTCCTTAATAAGACATTAAAACACTCTTGAGTTTTCCCTCACGTTTCTGAACCTCTCTCCAACTGAATTCTAACCACCCTGTTTAAATCCACCCTTCTCCATAAAGCTTCCTTTGGTTTGCAGTTCTTATGCATCTGCTTTCCCCACAATTCCGATCGTTGGTGTAATCCAACTCAGCACACTTGACCTGTTTTCCAAACATTCCATGTGTGTAAGTATATAACTTGTCTTACAGGAAAATTCTATGCTCCTGTTTCTGTGTAATTTCTGTAACGAAATGGTGGCCTAATACCTGTGCACAGAGAGATGCTCAATACAATCTTTACTGAGTGACCAGTGTAAATCCTTGTTTCATTTTTATTTCCATAAGGACTGAAGTTCAAGAAAGCTGGCCCTTTTATGGCAAGACACTTTATCAACAATCTGTCAGTAGGCCTATAACAAATAACAATAAATACTAAGTAGAAGGAATAAAAAAAGACCAGAAAGGGAAGATATGACTCCCAAATTTTAACAGGTTTGGAGAGAGAGACCACCAACCCTTTACTTACCAACAATCTCAGATGGATATTTTGTAACATAAAATAAGAGAAAAAAGTTTCTGAAAATATCAGAATGAGGCTTTCCAAATTTTAACTTAAAAATATTATTGTGGGGCTGGGGATGTGGCTCAACGGTAACGTGCTCGCCTGGCATGCTCGGGGCGCTGGGTTCGATCCTCAACACCACATAAAAATAAAATACCGATGTTGTGTCCACCGAAAAGTAAAAATAAATATTAAAAAATTCTCTCTCCCCCCCCCAAAAAAAAATTATCGTAGCCAAGTAGGAATCTAAGCACTTTGTATACATTATCTAATTCAATCTTCAAAATGGTCTTATGAGGTCGGCAATGTTATCTCTATTTTACAGAAGACAAAATGAAGATTAGAAAGGCAAATAACTTTTCAAAGTTGTTAAACTATATGCTAAATTGCCAAGAACACATTTGCTAGTATGACTTGAATATATTCAAATAGGAGCATGTCAGATTTCTGGGACAGTGGGGAGGGCGGGTAGCACTCGCCTGTAATCTTAGCTACTTGGGCAGCTGAGGGAGGAGGATTTTAAGTTCAAGGCCAACCTCAGCAATTTAGTGAGACCCTGTCTCAAAACAAAAAATAAAAAGGGGCTGGGCATATTGTTCAGTGGTACAACGCTTGCCTAGCAAGGCAAAGTACAGTCCTGGTATGATCAGCAGTAAGTCCATTTTCTGAAGAATAAGCAATCACTTTTTTTCAAAGAGAGCCGTAACATGAGTTCTTCCACCAGGGGGCAACATAAAAATAAATGCTACTGTTTTTTTTTTAAACAAACCACTAAAAATTTGGTTGAGGGGCTGGGATTGTGGCTCAGCGGTAGAGTGCTCTCCTAGCACGGGTGGGACTTGAGTTCGATCCTCAGCACCACATAAATATAAAGGCATTGTGTTGTGTCCATCTACACCAAAAAAAAAAAAAAATTTTTTTTGGTTGAAGAATGAGTCAGTTATGAACATGTTTTCCAGCCGAATTCTATAGTGTCACAGTGCTCACTGTTCAAGAGAGTGACAGGATGATCCTACTGAGTCCCAAACTGAAGCTGCATCATTCAGACACAGGTGGGCTGCTGAGGACTCCCAGGCCCCACCTTATACCAAAGCCACACGGCTCAGGGGCCTCTAGTGACAGTGGTCAAACCATATTTCCCTTCCTGGTACCAGCTTCTGCCTTCCTGTAAGATTTATGGAGCATCACCTGTCACCTGGTCAAGAAGACAGCTGTACCCCAGGTCAAAGAGAGATACACTACTCTTCACATGTTGAAATCCTTTAATACCAAATGGGGAAGGCAGACTTTCAGGTACGTGCAAGACCAGGTGGGGAGCAGAGATGGTCCCGGAACTGGCTCCCTGCTTACCTTCACAGCTTCCAGCTCCTCCTTGCTGGCTGCTTGCTGTTTCTCCAGCCGGGTACTTAACTGGGAACAGATCTAAGGCAAATAAAAGAGGCTCTTTACTAGATACGCCTGCAGTGACCACATGCACACATCTGCTTAGCAACCCATAAAGGCCTTGAGCAGATCTGCTCCTAGAAGAAATCTTGCAAATGAGCAGCCCTGCAAATGCTAGTCACTTTTGAAACAAGCAACAGAAGCCTGGGCATCTCCTGCGGAGACTCTGTCTTCATCCACAGAAACAAGACACTGGCGTAGATTGGGTTTCTTGCTATCACTAGCTTTCTGTGATGAGTTCCAATGAATTTTTGGCCTTGCTGAGTATCTACTTTGTACAAATTGATGAAAAGAATTTTGAACCAGAAACAGCTCCTACAGCTCCCATCCAGCCACAGAAAAAGTCTCTTTCCAATCACTAGTTTCCTTAAGTAGCAGCAGAGTGAATAAAAGTTAAAATTATTAGAAAATGAAACTGATTAAAATAAAACTCTGATCAAGAGTTTGGGAAACAGCACAGAAATTAAAAGCTTCAGAGCCAGTGCGGTGGTCCATGACTATAATCCCAGTGATTCGGGAGCCTTGGCTTTAGCGAGGCACTAAGCAACTTAGTGAGACCCTGTCTCCAAATAAAATGAAAAGCTTCAATACTGGAGTCGAACTGTGAGTTTAAAGCCCATCCAGCTCTACTACTTATATCTATAGACTCCTTGGCAAACTCATTCATCTTTCTAAGACTTAGTTCCCTTGTGACTGCACAGTACTGTGCTGTAATAACAAGTGAGAAAGATGCATGTGAAGGGCTCAGTACTACATAGCATCTGACCAATACAAAGCACCTATGGAGTAAAACCCATTATTATTATTAATTCTGAAATAAGGTGCTGATAAGTACCAAGAACAAGTAGAAATAAGTGCTTTCAAAGGAGAAAATTTCTGCTTAAAAAATGCATCCACTCATTGACTAAAATAAAAATCTTTTAAAAATGGATAAAAATAAATTTAAAAAATAAAAAGCAAACAATAAAATAGAAAAATGGATGAGAAACAGGGGATGTCAAATTCTAAAGAAGAAATTAGAATAGAAACATGTCTATTTCTCATCAAAAGACATTAAAAAAAATCTCATTACTAAAAAATAGCTCAAGGCCAAGTCTTGCTTGTTGTTAAGCTTCCAATTTCTCCAGATCTAAACCTGGCAAATAATTCATAGACTGTATTTAAACTGATGTTAAAAAGAAGGGTCTGCTGGGCACAGTGGCACACACTTGTAATACCAGCAACTGGGTAGGCTAAGGCAGGAGAATTGAAAGCTGGAGGCCAGCATGGGCAACTTGGTGAGACCCTGTCTCAAAACAAAAGATAAAAAGGGCTGGGGATACAGCTCAGTAGCAGAGCACTTGCCTAGCATATGCCAGGCCCTGGTTTAATCCCTAGCAGCACATGCACACAGATAAAGAAGGGATTTCCCTGCTCATTTGTGCAAACCATCTCCCCTTCTATGTAAACCAAAGCATTCAGAAATAGAATTAGTAACAGCCAGTTCCCACTACAGAATGCATTCATTATGTTTTATATCCTAATCGTCTTTGAGGAGATGGGTCTGTTGGCTTTTATATTATGGATTCTTACCAGGGAATGTAAAGTCCAGGGCCAAGGATTACTGTTTGAAGAGTGTGGTAGGCTGTGGCCACCTGTGGTGTCACATGGTCATGAGGTAATGCATTTGCAGTGATGGTGAGTTTTGCAGCCATGGTCTTAAATGCTCCTTGCATTAGTTCATATCTAACCACCATGTCTTAGTTACCCAAAGTCAAAGTGCCTGGATGCCTTCCAGGTTTTCCCTTGTCTAGCAGAAAAAAAGGGTGGGGGGCTATATTTGACATCTCCCTCTTCTGTTTTCAGTATTGCTTATTTTAGTCAGGGCCCAATTTTTCCTATTTCTCCCTATTTCTTCTCACTTTGTGACATTAGCCTCTCATGGTCTGTGTCCTTGCCTGTAGATCTCTCCCTTTGGTTCCACATTCCTCACTGGGTCAGAGTAGTGCCAATACGTATCCCTGAGCATGCCATTTTCCTGCTTAAAAATTCCTACTACGACAACAACAAAAACTAGACAGCTATGCCCAACCTGAAGACCGTCCTGGATCTGGGCCCCAGCAAAGTGATGCTTCTCTTCTGTACTCGAATCTCTTACCACATAAAACGTTTTCTGTGTTCACTAGCCTACCTCTGTGCCTTCCATTTCCCTCTTCCCACCATTTGCACCCCATCCTCCACTGTTTCCACATATCCAACTCTCACGCAGCCTTGAAGCCACTCAAGCAATCCCAGCTCTGGAAGGGCCTCCTCATTGCCCACAGGGAGAAAGTTCCTTTCCTCTTATTCTTGCTTAGGTCTGACCTCCCTATGACAAAATAAGCTTCTAGGAGAGAGATTAGATTAATTCATCTTGGGCCCCCTGAATTATTAAGCCTCACAAGTAGCAAGCATTAAATAAGCACATTATTATAAAGGAGAGTAAGAATGCTCTGAAATCTTATTTCTAAGAAATGTTTCATGCATATGAGGAAACCTTATGAAAAGAAGTTCATGATATATGAAGCAGACCAAAGCTACTTCCAAAAAAACAGAATAAACAGTACAGCCATCCTGTTTATATACATTATACATTTTTTATGTAGCAATTTATTTATATAGCAATGCTACATACTCAACATTATAGAGATTTGTAGGTGGCAAGATTGAGGGAGGTTTGTTTTCTTTGTGCTTTATTGCATTTCCCCAACTTTCTACAAAAACATAAATTTCACTTATAGACAAAAACAAAAACATCAAGCCAGGCATGGTGGCACATGCCTGTAATCCCAGTAGCTCAGGAGGCTGAGACAGGAGAATCGCGAGTTCAAAGGCAGCCTCAGCAAAGGCAAGGTGCTAAGCAACTCAGTGAGACCCTGTCTCTAATGAAAATACAAAATAGGGATAGGGATGTGGCTCAGTGGTCAAGTGTCCCTGAGTTCAATCCCTGGTATAAAAAATTTAAAAAACCCCATCAAAACCAAACTAAAACAGTATGCATTAGATTTCAACATCCTTTGTGAGACAGATGATCTCAGGGAAACCCTTGGATCTGAAGGCAGCGCATGGTAAATTTAATTAATTCTGGAAACCTGGAATGTGAGGAGCCAACTCAGGTTTCTCAGAACTGAGAGGGCCCTTGCCATGTCCAGCCAAAAGGAGAAACAGCAAGATGTACCTGGAGTAGAATGAGAAGCGTTCTGGGGCTACCCTGGTGACAGGAGAGAGAGATTTTCAAGGAGAGCAAGCTCTCTGTTAAAAAGAGAATTTTAAGGTGCACAGTAGAAAGCCTCCCACTAGTGGGGGCCTGCACTGGGTCAGGCCACGTAGCCACAGTGCCAAAAAAAAAAAAAAGGGCCTCATTCGGTTCTTTGATTGCAAAGGATACACTGATCCCCTAGCTATTGCCATTTGATACAATCACTAAACTTTGCAAAATGGCAAATGTCCCCAGTGAGATCTATTGTCAATTAGCTTCTCAGTAAGGCAGAAGCTGGATCCCAACGGCAATTATGGTTCCAAACAGTGTTAAACAACCAATGGTTTGTTTGTCAATTAAACCTCCCATGTTATCAGCCAATAGGTCCAACCACTGCCTGTTTTAGGAGAGCGTGAGGCACAGATTTAATAAATTGGAAAACTGTTCTGGAAACTCTAAAAACAAACAAAACACAAAAGTAAAAGGCAATCACTTTTACAACAACAAAATCCACAGTGGCACAATACCTGTTTATACTCAGCAATGATGGCTGTGGTCTTCTTTATCTCATACTCTGCCTTCTCTAGTTGTTTCCTGAATACTTCTTTTAGCTAGAAAGGAAGGAGAAATAGCAGGATTCAGCAAAAATCTTAATAAATTTCTTAAGACACCTACATTCATGTCTTCTTGGTTCACGGTCAGAGACAATGGTAACAATCACGGTTATGCACATTTTCCTCACTGAAGCTGCATCTCAATAATCTGAAAACCTGGGCTGGGGATGTGGCTCAAGTGGTAGCGCGCTCGCCTGGCATGCGTGCGGCCCGGGTTCGATCCTCAGCACCACATACAAACAAAGATGTTGTGTCCGCCAAAAGCTAAAAAAAAGAATAAATATTAAAAAATTCTCTCTCTCTCTCTCCTCTCTCACTCTCTCTTTAAAAAAAAAAAATCTGAAAACCCAAGCATCTCCAGAGACACAGAGATCTTTCTTTTCCATAAAGACAAGACACATGAGCCATGCTGTTATAAAGCTGCTTATGCTCACTGCCTGCCTGGTAAGCATATTGCCTCTAAGTGTCCACTTAGACACCGTCTTCATTTTAAGTGTAAACTAAAATATATCCAGGCAACATTGCAGGCTAAATTTTTCACTATTGATACTATGTTATAAATTAAGGAGAAAAACTTTGGGCCTTGTGTTAACAGTCCCCTCCATCATTGCTCCCTCTCCGAAAGCAGGGTCAAGAGGTTCTGGAGTCGGGAAGAGATGAGATGAGACTCTAGGGAGGGACAGGGGATTCTGGTCATGAGTTCAGGAGGAGCACAAGCTATACAACCCGCAGGTGCTGACTAAGGTCGCTGAAGAGCTAAATGACCAATGTCATACTCAAAACCACAGTTTTTGTTTTGTTTTATTTATTTATTTATTTATTTTTTTTGCTTTTGTTTTTGGCTTTGAGGATGGAACCCAGGGCACTTAACCACTGAGCTAAACCCGCCCTTTTTTGAGAGTGACTCACTAAGTTGCTAAGTTTGTCCTTGAACTTGAGATCCTCCTGCCTCAGCCTCCCAAATTGCTGGGATTGCAGGTGTACACCACTGTGTCCGGCTACAACCACAGTATTTTGATAGCCCAGAGGCTGTAGAATTCTGGTACAGAGGAAGACTGAGTGATGAAAAAATTCAGGTGCCACCAGATAAAAAAGAATTCAATTCTGACAAGTTGGCCAAATAAACAACAAAAAACAACTCTGGTTGGTCCTAAGTACATAATCAGAATAAAGGGACGAACCCTGGAGAGAAGAATCCCATTTTATTTTCCTGGCACTGGGGACTGAGCCCACGGTTTCATGCTTTCTGCAGGGCAAGCCTTTCACCTATGAGTCACAGCCACAGATCTTTTTTATTTTTTATTTTGAGACAGGGTCTCACTAAGTTGCCCGGACTGGCCACATACTTGCATCCTCCTGCCTCAGTACCCCAAGCACCTGGGATTATAGGTATGTGCCACCATGCCCAGCCCCCAAAGTATTCATAGGGAATATTCTACACTTGCTAATTCATAAATTAATAATTTACAATTGGATTCTATCATTAGAAGATTTCTGAATTTCTTCATATTTGTTACATTCTAAAATCCTAAAAACAACTTGTAAGTTATACTGCTTCAAATGCAGCTGTTTATAGAAGTCTCTATTCTCTATTTTACATAACGTTGGACATAAACAATAACCTCCCCTTCCTATAATAAGGCCACACTGACTTTAGATGACTCAGGCAGCTCAGAGGCTTGGAGCAAGTTTTTCTAAGCCATAGCTTCCTCGGGTGACAAATAAGAGTAAGGTACACGGTACAAGTACCATCATCACAATAACCAAGACAGGGTGAAGGGAAGACACCATGAAGCATCTGGCTTTGCTCTGGCCACACGTAGGCTCTTGCCCCTCCGCTGGGCTGGTGTGTGTCGCAGAGCCACGGGGCAGGCAGAGTGTGGGTTAATTCATTTGCCAATAGTGTCTTCTTCCCTGAAAGTACTAAAGGGGTCAAAGAAAGCCAGAGGTAGAGAAGAAAACAAAACACATCAGGAGGCCTGGAGAATCTATCAGCCCTCAAAGTTTTTTGAGGAAGTTTTTTAAAAAAGAAAAAACTTGGACCACACTAAATGCCAAAGACTCATTTTAACATATTCCAGCAGGGGAAAAAACGTCACAGAATATGTTTTATAAATCCTGGAAGGTGCGAAATGGCACATCTCTCTATGTGTAACTTTTTTCTGGATGAAAGTCTTTCAAAGGATTTCTATTCTGTTTTATGTTTAGCACTAACTATTAATACCTTAGAATGAAATTCACTAATCATGATTTAAGAAATTTCCTCACTATATAAGGTAGTTACATCAAGCAAGCTCTGGGCGGTGGACTTCAGTCATTTGTGAAGACACTCTACCAGGTAATCTAGTCCTCCGCCGCTGGCTGGGCCCACGGGGGAGGCAACGGTGGGCGGCCTCTGGGCCTAGGGAAGCAGGAAGCTCCAGCTCCAAGCAGAGGTGCCTCACCCTCACCTGGGCCTGCACTCCTCCTCCACATGGAGACCGCCACTCACCTGCTCCTGGCTCCCACAAACAGCACAGGGCACCAGCTTCAACGCCGGCTCACAGAGGGCTTTTACGTTCCCCCAGCGGTTAGGACCCAGAGCTCTGCTGGGAATGTTGAGGCTCCCTTTTCTAAGGCATGAGTCAGAGGAGTTAGGGGGACTGAGGTAGAGGTCTGTAGCAGTCCCAGCAGAGGCCACAGTGGCTTTCGGTGTGACAAAGCCATAAAGTGCTTCCCAAGAGTTGATGATTTTGGAGGCAGGACATGAAACTTCCCCACTGTCAGAGCTCTTGGATCACAGCTGCAAGTTACTAAACTCAACACTCCTTCGAGATGTCTCAGTAAAGGCACATTCCTGAAAGCTATTGAGAGCAGAAATGCTGCCTCCTCTTCCAATACCCTTAGCACACTTCAACTTCACCCCGACTTAGAATAAATGTCACTTTTTTTTTTTTTTACAATATTCGTAACTCCCTGCCAATCTACCGTGTGCAGAAAAGCCTGTGAACACCTTTACCTGGGCAGTCTCTTCCTCCTGCTTCCTCTTCTCCTCCTCAGTCTCCACCAGCTTCTGCTTGGTCAAGAGGAGCTCCTTATTCAACACATCTGCCTTGTCCTCTGCCTGCAAGTCAGGGCACATCACAGCCATAAAGAAGGCGAATATACACACACATACCTTCTCCACACCCTGTCCCCAGGTATTTCTCTACAGCTACCTCAAGTCCTTCCTCTCTTCCCAGCTCACTGCAGGGTTGTGGCAGGGGCTGCTTTCTCTGACCATCTACGTGCCAGGTACTTGGTACACATTATTCCTAATTCTCACAACAACACCTTTACAGCTAATGACAGTGAGATTTGGCTAGACCAAATACATTGTCTGGGGTCACACATCTAAAATGACAGTTATGATCTGAATTCAGATTTGAATGACATTCTCTTTCCACACCCTTCTCCCTCATTCTCAGATGTCATGACAGCATTCGCGGTGCTTCCAAATGGCAGTGCATGGGGAGCATTCAGAAAAGGCAAGTGGACAGGTGGGTCCACAGACAGCAATCAAGGCCAGGCTTGAGGTTAACTGGCCCACAAGCCGCTCAGACTGGTCAGTCAGTATAGCAGGGAGAAATTAAAACCAAAACCCAAGATAGAGAGAGTCGAGTGGGAAACCAAAGCAGAAACCAGACTCCAGGCTGTTTCCAGGGTGCCAGGACGTGCCTGGTGAGAGCAGGCTGGTTCTACCTGGGTCACAGAGCCCTCTGGGGTGTGTGTGTAACTGAGGGGACACTGTCTTATTTATACGCCAGGACCCCCGACCTCATCCTCAGGTTCCAGCCACACATTTGCACAGCACTGAAATGTGACCTGAGACCCACCCTATTCACTGCCATCTGGACCGGCCCCCTGTCCACGCCTCTCCAGTCTCCCTGATAGCATGTTAGGACAGCTCCATGTGCGATGCGCATCTTGCCCACTGCACTCTAACTCCAGGAGGAACCATGTCTCCTCTGCTCTTCACTATTTCCCCAGCACCACACCCACACGGGGACAGGGGCAGGTTTTCCCCCAAGTCCTCAGTGAATAAATGAATGTTCCCTAAGTCCCTGCAGAAGCAGCCTGTGGGCAGCGGGCCACAGGATGAGTCCGGCAGAAAGACTCCCGAGGCAGAGGAGAGGCAGCTATGTGAAGAAGCCATCCCTGGCTGACAGCAGCCAAAGGTTGTCCAAGAATCATGCAAACTGGCCAGGTGGCTTCTGACTTTGTTTGCCATATCTCCCCCACGCCCAGATGGCCAGGCCAGCACAGTCTGCTGGATACTGGCAGAGAGCGCAGCCCTGCTTCTCTGTGCTTGCTGCCACCTAGGTCCAGAGCCTCCTGGCTCAGTGGTAATAACTCTTGCTTCCAGAGCATTTGGAACTATTGGGTAGTGAAGGTGGAAAAGACTCTATCGCCCTCTAACCCCAGCCCGCTGGTTCAAGGTCTACCGCAGCAGGAGTAGGCAATGCCACCTTGACTTCAGTAGCACGCTTCTTGAATCCTGCAGTATATCCAGCTGTTTTTAGTTTTGGAAACCTCTATAAGAAAAGGGGAAAAACACTTCCCTGAGGAACTCTTTTTAGAAACACTTGAACACTCATGTTGAAGCCCTATTAGTTTTATTTACACATTTTCTGTTGAACAGTCCCTATTAGGTGTAGCTCAGGCCTCCCTACTCTGACTGTAGCAACAGTCATGGGTGCTAAGTGAAGAGGAGTCTCACAGTTTCCTAGGAAGCCGCAGCCAAAGCTTCTCCTTAGTGCTGAATAATAAAGAACAACTGTGCTCATCAAAATAGGATCAGATCTGAAATAACCTAAGTTTCCTCTAAAAGCAGGCTTCTGGATCTTTAAACATCCAGCTGCTCCACCTCAAGGTATCTCTCATGTCAAGTGAAAATAATACTAAACAGACAGTTATGTAAATTCTACTTTTGAACCCAAATTATAAAACGTTCCTTATAATTTGACAGTGGGACTGAGTGGAACTCCATCATTTTTAAGTCTTCTAATCACATGTGTATGTCTTAAGATGTCTTACTGATGCTGAGAGCTCAGACTGCAACCAAGGGTCCTATGACATCAACCTACAGGCAAAACAAGCTCTGCCCTGTGTGGCGAGGTTGTGAACCCACTGCCCTATTGAGGAAAGCTTTGGTCAAAATCAGGGATGAGGAGCTTTCGGAAATCAGCCAGGCAGTTGTTCCATTTAAGAGAAAACAGGTACTTATCACCTACAGCTTCTGGTCTAAGAACTCCAGTTAGAAAGAGCTCAGTCTTCAGTGCGAAGGTACCAATTCTCTCTCTCCTTTTTGTTCCCTGAGAACAGGGAAGGGCAGGGAGGGCCTGAGAGCAGGTAGCATCAGAAATTGAAATGGAGATGTCTTTTTCATTACTAATCTCAGAAATTCTTATTTAAGGAGTCGGAGAGAGATCTTCCTGTCAAAGGAAAACTGACCAGCCTTTGGTGCCTGGTGCCCTGGAGGGTAAAGCCATGACTACAACAATAAGGGTGAAGAATGCTTGGTTTAGAGAAAGTACCTAATAACCTAGGAGTGTGTGTTTATTTCCCATATTGTCTCAGGTACAATCTGCTTTCATGTCTACTACCAAGTTTTGCTGTTTGGGTTGAGAGAAGTGATTTTGGTAAGCTGGGACTCCCAAGAAGGGGGAAGGAGGTGAGGCCTGGTGTCATTCTCAGGTGATGGTGCCCTTCTGTGAGGACCAAGGGCAGGACACCTGAATTGTAGGGATGGCTGTTGGATAGGCACATAAACCTCTGCTGGGGCAGAAACTGCAAATTCAGAGGTTAGGAGGAGATAAGCATAAAAGAGCAGTTTTATCTTTCATTTAGATAATTGGCTTCAAAAGGCAGGATCCAGATATTACTACTTTTCTGAAAGAGGGAGTCAAGAAAGAAGAAAAAAGGGAGAAGAGGAAGGAATGCTGGAGTCCTTCCTTTAGGGATAGATGTGGTGCCCACACGAGGCAGCCAAGTATTCGATTATGTCAGGAGTGTCCATAATAGCAGCCATTTCAGACTGACCCACAAAAAGGATTCTCTTGGAGGTGAACTGACTTTTAAAATAACATTTATCTGATGATTAAAGTTTGTATATTATTTTCCTACATAACACCCATATCCCATTGCACAGTGTTTTTCCGATCCCTTTGGTTCAAAAATTATTCCAAAAAGATACAGATATACTATATCTCCCCCAATACTGAACATGCATTTTATTTCTACTTTTTATTCTTCTAAGTTACACTGCAGTAAACAACAATCTAAATCTCTACTTTTTAGCATAGCTTTCCAAGTTCGAGTATAATTAGATCAATTTCCTCATTTTTAAATAGTGGACCTAAAATACTTGCTTCATGGGCTCATTAAAACGAGTAAATGAGATAATGCTTATAAATCGCTACATATAGTGGTTAGCACATACTAGGTACTCAGTACAAAATCAATTTTATAAAAGGGATAAAAATAGGAAAGGAAGAAGTCAAATTATCACTGTTTGCAGATAATATGATCCTATTCTTAGAAGACACAAAAAAACCTAGAGCTAATAAACAAATTCAGCAAAATAGGAGGTTATGAAAATCAACATTAAAAAATCCATGGTTTTTCCATGAACCAACAATGAATCTGCTGAGAAATAAATCAGGAAAGCAATTCCATTCACAATAGCCTCAAAAAAAAAAAAAAAAAAAAAACCTAGGAATAAATCTAACAAAAAGGTGAAAGAACTCCACAATTAAAACTATAGAACTTTGAAGAAAGAAATTGAAGAAGACCTCAGAAGATGAAAAGACCTTCCATGTTCATGGACAGGCAGAATTAATATTATTAAAATGTCCATACTACCAAAATCAATACACAGATTCAATGCAATCCTCATCAAAATACCAATTACCTTATTCACAGAACAACAACAACAACAACAAAACAGTCCTAAATTCGTAAGAAAAAATGACTGAGAATAGTCAAAGCAATTCTAAGACAAAAGAAGCAACGCTGGAGGCATCATAATACCCGACTTGAAATTATACTACAGAGCAATAGTCACAAAACTGCATTGTATTAGCATAAAAACAGACACATATACAATGGTGCAGAAGAGAAGACACAGAAAAAAGCCCACACATCTACAAGGAACAGTCATCTGTTCCTTGACAAAGGTACCAAAAGCCATGCACTTGGGAGGGGAGGGGGATACCAGGGATTAAACTCAGGGGCACTTAACCACTGAGCCACATCCCCAGCTCTTTTTAAATATTTTATTTAGAGACAGCATCTCACCGAGTTGCTTATGGCCTCACTAAATTGCTGAGGCTGGCTTTGAACTCTCCATCCTCCTGCCTCAGCCTCCCAAGCTGCTGGATTACACGTGTGCACTACCGGGCCTGGCTCAAGACAGCCCTTTTAGCAAATGGTGCTGGGAAAACTGATTATTCATATGTAGAAGAATGAGACTAGATCTTTAATTTTTACCCTATCATAAAACTCAACTCAAAGTGTATCAAAGATCTAGGAATTAGACCAGAAACTCTGTAAATCCTAGAAGAAAACATGGGTCAACACTCCAACATATAGGCAGAGGCTACACCTTTCTCAATAGGACCCCTGTAGATCAGGAAACAAGGCCAAGACTAGGATGGCATCAAATTAAAAAGCTTCTGCACAGCAATGGAAATCATTAGGAAAATGAAGAGAGAACCTACAGAATGGGAGAGAATCTTTGCTAGCTCCTGGATTAATATCTAGAAATTATAAAGAACTCAGACAACTTTACACTCCAAAATCAAATAACCCAATTAACAAATGGGCAAATGAATTGAACAGACACTTCTCAAAAGAAGAAATACAAACGGCCAACGACTATATGAAAAAATGTTCAACACTGTTAGCATTAAGGAAATGCCAATCCAAACTACACAGAGACTTCATCTCACATGAGTCAGAATAATGGTCATCAAGAATACAAATAATAATAAATGATAGAGAGAATATGGAGAAAAAGTAATACTTTCACATTGTTGGTGGGACAGTAAATTAGTACAACCATTATGAAAATCAATGTGGAGGCTCCTCAAAAGACTAGGCATGGAACCACCGTATGACCCAGATGTGCCACTCCTTGATACTTATCCTGAAGAATTAAAGGCATCTTACTATAGCAATAAATGCATACCTGTGTTTATAGCAGCACAATTCACAATAGCCAAATTATGGAAACAGTTGAGGTGTCCACCAATAAAGAAAATATGATACACACACACAATAAAAAAAATGAAATTATGCATTTGCAGGGAAGTGGATAGAGTTAGAGACCACTATGTTAAGTGAAATAAGCCAAACTCAGAAGGTCAAGAGTCTCATGTTTTCTCCATACATGGAAGCTAGAGAGAGAAAAGAAAAGAAAGGTAGGGGTGGATCTCATGAAAATAAAAGGGAGATCAGTACAGGAAAGGGACCAGGTAAGAGGTGAAGGAAGGAGGGGCAAGTGCTGGGAGCAATATTGGCCAAACTGTACTTTACACACTGTGTGCATGAATGAATATGTAACAATGAATCCCACCACTATGTGCAACTATAATGAGCCAATAATAAATATGGAGAGAGAAAAAAAATAAATCTAAAAAATTAATTTTATTATTTGCTTACATCTTATACAAGACTTAACAGGTACCACCAAACACATTTCTCAAACAACTTTCAAGCTCTTTTCACTTCACTGAGCCCCTCTGAGTTCAACTCCTTACATTTTTTTTTTTCAGTTAGCCATCTTAAGAACATTATCAGAATTGGGGGTGAACCACACTGTTTGGGAAGCTAATATAGAGCCCAGACTAGCGATGCAGTATGTGGTCAGGCTGAGGCTGGTTTTGCTGGGACCCTTGCCTTGGTGCTGTGTCTTGGTCACACTTCCCTCATCTCATTTCAATCAACTTCCACATGGAATTTGTGATTAAAAGGACAAATATTTTTCAAATGGACTACTGTTCTATTTCTATGTCCCAAACAGCATAGTTGTTCTGCTTTGTACCAACTATACCTGGAGGCTGAAGGTGTAGCTCAGTGGTACAGTGCTTGCTCAGCATGCATGAAGCCCTATGTTTAATCCCCAGCACAGAAAAATAGAAATCAAACTTCCTTTAGTGCTGACCCGCCCCCTGCAGCTTCCTTCCTTCCTTATTAGCACCATTTCCTCAATATTTATGTTTATCTCCCACCTTACTATGGTTAAAGCTTTTGAGCTAAAAAATTAGCTGTTTATATGAGGAAAAGATATGACAGAAACTACTTCTACCAACTTTATTTTTATTCATTTATTTTTGCAGTGCTGGGGATCAAACCTAGTGCTTTGAGCACAAGAGCTCTACCATTGAGCAATACCACATACTTCAATTATGAACACATAAGCAGATTATGTTATCAGTGGACTTGTGTTTTAAATACTGTCAATGCAAAGTTAAAGCACAGACAATGACTTTTTCTTTCCTTCAACAGTCTAAGTCTCAATTTTTCTAACCCTGCACCATTGGCAATATTTATTTTTTAGAAGTAAAAAAAGTAAAAATTTTAAGTCTGCACAAGACTGCTTCCACCTTGCCAATCATCTCAGGAAATGGTAGCAGCAGCAACAGGAAGTTCTAAGACTGTCAACATTTTGGGAATGAACAAGGAAAGTTATAGCATTAGAGATCTCTTAGCAACAGCGAAGGTTTGTTGAACACATACTATAAGTGCTTTAGCTTAACTCTCACATCTTCCCTCCAGGGTAGACACTTTTGCAACTACGGGCAGCTAAAGGACTGCCCAGGGTCACATGGTTGGCAAGTCGGGGGTGCCAAGAGGTTCACGTGCAGGCTCTCTGGCTCTCAGCCACTAAGATGCCTGCCAATTCGACAATCCAACATTTAATGCTTGCACTTCATGTAAAACTTCACATTTATTATTGGAACACGCAGCAAGGTGCCTACGATGTCAGGGTGGCAATAGTATACTCTGATACTCTTTGGTAATTATGAGGGCAGCTTTTGGTTTAAAAAAATACTGATAAAGAGAAGAGATGCTAAGAGAAATTTAGAGGTATAAAAATCAGCGTCACACATGCCTTTTGGAAATGAGCCACCCATTCTCAAAGGTGTGGGGTTTCTGCTCTCTCCAGTTAGCACGAGCTGCCCTCCCCACTGCCAGCCACCATCCATCTATACCAGGCAGCACACTCAAGAACAGCGAGCCTAGGAATGTAGTGAGAACTACCTGGTCCTCCCCCTTGAGGAAGTTAGTCTCATGTCTACCTCATGAGCGACAGATTTACCTGATCTAAGTCATTCCGCAGAGCGATTTTGCTGGTTACCAGTTCATGGGCGAGGTCATCATTCTCCTGCTCCAACCTCATGCTGGCCTCCTGTAATCTTCGGTTCTCCCTCTGTACAAAAAGAGCAAGAGCCAGAGGTGGGCATGAGTGCCTGCAGGCACCAGCAGAAATGGAAGCAGAAGCAACTGGTGAGGAAAAACAAGCAACACCAACAAAGTGAACTTCCAAAGGTGTAAAAGGAGAAGGCGCAGTGGCACAGGGAGGCGGGCCTCTGCCTGGGCAACAGCAGCGTCTGGCTAGCGGTGCGGCTGCGGAACTCTACCCAGTGCAGCTTGCAACTGTCCCTTATGACCCCCAGACGGACTCATCATGAAATGTGGACCACAAACAGCAGCGTGTCCAAACATACCCATGAAGTTCCCACATAGACCTAGAATGCAGACGACAAGCAATTCTTGGACACATGCACAATAACTCCACCCTGGACCTGACGAGAAATGGTAAGACGCGGCAGGGATGACACTAGACATTTCTCCAAATTGTTTTCCAAGATCTGGGTTCAAGATGATTGAGAATATTTAAGAACACTAAATCAAGAGTCTAGATACTTGGGCTTGTGACTTGCTATCAGCTGATATTTTTTATTCTGTGAGTGAGACCACATTGACTTTTCTGAATACAATCTACTTTTATATTAGTAACAATAAGAGTCCCCATAAAAAGTCTTCTAAATGTCTATTTTGCTCCTTCAGATTAAAAAGACTCTGGGTAAAATAAATTACTAAGCTTGGATCCTTCCCCCCCCCATTAAAAAATAAAAAAAGTTTTTTTTTCATTTTTTTCTGCTCCCAGAAAAAATCTGAAGCAAAGTTATATGATGAAAGAACCAAGTGTCTGATGCTTATGAAATAAGGTCTCCCCTTCACTAGAGGTTGTGAGTCTGGTACATTTATATCTAGTCTCAGAAGAGCAGTTTAGTGCCTTCTACTCTACAGAGTATCATCTGTGCTTTCTTTGCTACTGTTAGCAATTACAAGCAAGTCAAAACAGAGCTGACAGGAAAGACTTAGATGTGACAAAACCAAGTTTAGATTTACACTTCTAACCCCGCCCCCCTTTTTTTTCCTGCAAGGGAGGTAGAAGCAGACAAAGCACTGATGAGAGGAAAAAAAACACACACACACAAAGAATACAAGAGGATAAATATATGTTTTAGAAGAGAGTGTTCCACAGTATAATAGAGGGGGCAAAGTTAATTCTATTATCTTTAGAACAGTCTGTCATGAGAACCTAATCATCTCCCCCCCACCTCCCAAGAAGGGCTAAGAAACAGATGATAAGGGCAAAATCTGAGGTTGTCATGGAGGCAGAGGATCCATTAAAAGGGACGGTCAGAAGAAAGATAGGGGAGAAACCTGCTCTTTGCATATTTTCTTTGTTATTTTTTCTTTTTTCCCCCTTTCTTATTATACACTGGGCCAAGGATATTCTACCACTAAGCTACATCCCCTAGCCCTTTTTATTTTTTATTTTGAGACAAGTTCTTGCTAATTTGCTAATAGGGCTGGCCTGGAATTTATGATTGATCCTTCTTCATCAGCCTCCTGAGTTGCTGGGATTTCAAGCATGTGCCAGTGTAGCCAACTTGACTATATCTTTTTCTTTGGAAAAAAAATAGACTAAGATAGTTGGGGGATATCAGAAAATTCTTGAGAAAGATATCTACTAAACATAAAAAAAGGAAATAATTCCAAATCACTTAAATACTCTTAAGTGGCAAAATTTCAGTTTTAGAATATTAAGAGAAAAATATCTAGTAACTGAGGAAATGCTTATTACCTTGTAGGGGGAAAAAAGACAAATAATGAGAAAATTATTTGGGCCACTGAACCACATGCCTAACCCTTTTTATTTTATTCTTTAAATTTTTTTTTTAGTTGTAAATGGGCACAATATTTTTATTTTATTCATTTATTTTTATGTGGTGATGAGGATCAAACCCAGTACCTCATGTGTGCGAGGCAAGCGCTCTACCACTGAGCCACAAGCCCAGCCCCCCTTTTTATTTTTTATATTGAGACAGGGTCTCACTAAACTGCTGAGGCTGGCTTTGAACTTGCAATCTTCCTGCCTCAGCCTACCAAATTGCTGGGATTACAGGCATGTGCCACCATGCCCACCTAGAAAATCCCATTTGTTTAACAGTATAAAAAGAAATATTAACTGTGGGTAGTATATTATTTTCATTATTGTCTTTGTCCTTTTTAAAAGAAAGTTTCCAAGTTTTCTTGGAATATATAATAAATTTGTAATAGGATTTTTAAAAGTTTTGTTTTTTAAAAAAGGGGAAATTTAGAATTTAAATTCCATCTAAAAGGATAAAATTTTGTTTTAAGTCCATTCCTGTTATAAGGTCATACTCCATCTGAAATACTGGATCTCCTTTGTGACAGAGGCATAGTGTAACCCTTTCCCAAGCTATTTCTGAAGAGACAGTTATTTGTATTTGTAGGGGCAACTCGTACTCATCTGATTCTGTCTGTTCCCTCAACCCACACAGGGTCCATGCTACCAAAGCAGCATAAACGTAGGAACTAATCTATGTATCCAGGGGACACAGCCAGAGTTTCTACAGTCGAACATTGGGAAAGCCAAAGGAACTCAATTTCTCACAGGTTCTTGAGAGCTAATATTTATTTCTGATGTATCTTTATTTCTGAACTTATATACTTGTAGAACACTTAGATTTTAAAAACATGTTTCAAAACTTTTAATAAATTTCCTTCTTGACAGAAGAGCAGCCACACCCAGCACAATTTCAACACAACAGATTTCACAAAGCAGACTGCTTACGTGGGAAGAGATTTTTCTCAGTTCTCAATAAATCCCTCAAGAAATCAAGATAAGACGACTTCAAAACCTAATCCTGAGATGAGTGCCTCACTCCTACCAAAACTGTACTGTAGAACTCCACCTTAGAAATGCTTCCTCTATTACGTAACTAGGTTAATCTGGCACAGGTGAAAATGTTGCAGCTACCAGTTTTTCAGGCTACAGTAATATGCTTAGAATTGAGTTAAATCATCTCCAGGTAAATTCACATGTTGTTTGTGGGAAAGCACTATGTTCAAGTATTTTAAAAATGTACCAGGGAGCTACTTCATTATTGGTTAGAGATCAACATTTGATAAACTATGTATTACAGAGGAAAGAAGTGAGTTCCGCCGAAATTCTAACTGCAACTTCTCACTACAAGGACTACTGCAGCTTCAGCCTTGCCGGAGACCCACAGCTGAAGGCACAGGTGTGGGTGGGAAAGACCCGGAGAAAGTGAGGGGCTAAAAAGCAGAAGAGCCTGGGGCGCACCTACTGGCTTTTGCTTTAGCAAGAAGCTTCTGGTTGGTGTTTGCAAAGCAAGCAGCAGGGTGGGAGGTGTCAGGATGCCTGCTCTGACTCACAGACAGGTGGGAAAGCAAGCTAAGGGGCCAAAGTGCAGTATTCTCCTCCAAAGTACAAGCCTAGGGTGGCCAGGGGTCCTCACATGTTGTTTGGTGCTACAGATGCCTACTGAGTGCTACAAAGAGATGCTGCCACCCAGATGGAGATTTTCTACAAAGAACCTGCCCCTGTGTATCAAGGGGCAGCAGAAATTACACCACTCAGCTGGCTTTTCCAGCCCTTACCAAGAGCTGAAACGGTTTTCAGAACTGACTGATTTCAGAAAAAGTTTGCCTTTCCACTGGAATGAAGAAGTTAAGTTAGGTTTGATGGGCCTGGAAAAGGCAATATGTTCATTTTGAATGTTGGTGAAGTCTGCCCAGGAGAGACTTCAGTTCAGCCAGATAATCTGTGTCACCTTGGAGTTGTTGACAGGCTGCACGTTTACAAAAGCAGACGTGCTGAAGGCCCAGACTGTAAGCAAAACAAGCCGACTGTTCCCCTGGCCTTTCAGAAGAGTGCAGGAGATGTTGGTTACATAATCCTTAAAACTGGCCTCCCGCTGTCTGAAACAAACTCCATCTCACACAAATTACACTATTTCCACAGAAGGTAGACTTTCCTCAGGAGTTCCTCCCCACAGCTGGGAAAGTTCCTTTAGTAACTTTTGGGAGGAGGATACTGCATTTTTCAAAGAGACAGACGCTGATACAGACACACATAGATTAAAAACTTACCTCCTCAAAAGTCATAGACCAACTACCGTTTTCAATCATAGGTACAAAGACAATCGAAAAAAAATGAATATCCAATGAAATCACACACCTACTAATACATACAGGAAATGACAGTAACAAAACACACTTGTTAATGCTATTTTTTCTTAGAGTCGTATGCTCTAAGTTCCTGCTGCTAACATTCGATGGAATAAAGTATGCTAGAGGCAGCCAAGTGGCAAGTCTCAACCCAGGAAGGCTCTACTTGCAAACTCCTCCCTCCCCACACTGCTATTTGCAGCTCTTATGACTGATGAAGACACTGGCTGTAGAAGTATGAGCAACTACAGGGTGAGCTGTGGATATTGCTATTAATGCTGGCAGGAGGAACTTCCCTCTATGACAAGGTCAGCAGCCTTGCAAAATAGTTCATCTTCAGGCAAAAGAATGAAATCGCTGAGCAGGGAAATCCAAAAGAAAAACTGATCCCAGTTCTCATTTGTTTCTGGAGGCTGAAGCCGGCATAAAGCAGTCCAAAGGAGGGTGAAATCATTTACTCCAAGATGAGAAACCAGAGAAATGTGAACTGGCAATCAGCAGAAAATAAACTAAGCGCTAGGGGAAAAAATGACGGGGAAGGAGGTGGCTACATAAACCCTGGCTCAATATTTTGGGTGTGTTGTCTGCTGCTATGATGAATTCTTGGCTCATGCTTTTTAAAAGACATCTAAGGGTCAGGAAAAAATGTTTTTCTAAAAGACCCAGTACAACTTAATTAGCAACAACACATGCAATGCATCCATGCTTTCTTTTGGATACCTCTTTTAAAAGAGTTGATAATCATTTTCAAATTTTCAGCATACAATTTTTGACATACAAAGACAAATGTACACAGATGAAATGTTCAAATGTCTATATTGCATGTAAATGGAGATCTGAGGAGAAAATCTGGTATCT